GCGGGCTGAGGGCAGAAAAATGCAGGCTGCGGGCAGGAAATGCTAACACGATTGCGAGTCGCGGGTCTAGTTGCGGACCTGACGAATTTTTAAAAAAATATTGTCAAAATGTAAAGAAAATAACAGTATTATACAAAATTTTGTGTTTTTGAAGTATATTCTATGTCTAATGCTATTCGTAATCATTGCATATGAATTTTTCCTTAAATTCATTCTTTTTGTAATATCATGGACTCTCAGTTTATGAGTCATACCAGACATTAAAACCTGATTCTACCGGGATAACTGTACACCAATCCTAATAGTAGCACTATTTTCCATCCAGCAAACTGACCTGACGTCATTTTTGGAAGATAGAAGAGGTGTTAAATGGCTATGTAACTAACACAAACCCTACCTCTACTCTAACCCTAACCCTAACCCTAACCCTAACTGCAACCCTAGCTCTAATCCTAATCGAATTAATAAAAATGTATAAAAAAACGACTTTAGAAAATTGATAGGGCGGTTTGCTGGATGGAATAAAGTGCTAACCACCAAAATTATTGGAAAATCATAGGAAAAACCAAGAAATTCGTCTTCTGTATAACCCATTCTGTGCTCTGGTTATGATGTGCTACCGCTTATAACTTTTGGTACAACTGGCCTGAAACTTAAAATATTGATTCAATAAGTTTAATATCAATATATTTATTGAAAAATGGGTATTATGTCAAAATAGGAAAACTTAAGATTTCACGCGAATAGGCAATGTTTTTATGAGCGACTGTTCATCGTTAGTTGCAAACGACGGTAAATTAATATAAACAAGGTCAAGGTTTTTTTCGAAAGCGATTGACTGTTAGATTTCCTTTTATACTATTTTATAACTAAATAATGTTATTTCCTACAAATTTAGCTTTATTGTAGCTTTATTGAATGCATAAAAAAACATGGAAACGGCGAATTACTACAGATTGAAAATAATTATTAAACTATGATTGAAATTATCGATGTACAATGCTATTTCGTTATATTAAATTTCAATAGTATTAATGAGAGTTTTGTTTGATATTTTAATATATTTCATGTTATTTACAAAATATACTGTAATTTTGAAGTTTTGCACACAATATGCTGCGGATTCAGGTAGACCGTTTAATGCGAATAGTTGTCGCGCCGTTAGTTTCAACGGTTGCACGATGACGTTTATAGGCAGATTCCGCAGATTTTCGACGTTTCTAAGGCGTGGCTTCAACGTTTATTTTTAAAATTTGAACGTTGTAATTACAACGTAGCAACGTCATCGTACAACTGTTACAGCCTAGAAACGTCATCGTACAACTGTTAAAACTAACGCGACAACTATTCGCATTATACGATCTACCTGAATCCGCAGTAGTAAGTATTAGCACAGTGACTCCGTTTCAATTTGAGTACATATAAAAATTAATTGAGTATTTTGATAGCGTAAGCAGGCTTCACAATATAAATATTAAAAACGACAGATAAATAATCATTCATTGCGAGCACAACTGCTCCAGAATCACAACAAATAACAGAATATCAAGAAAATTAAAACCAGCAAAGCTTTACCTACCTTGATCTATTTTTTAAGGCGCTCAATTATGTAAATTTTCCGCGAACAATCAAACATTTTTCTCAGCCTTTCCTCGAGCATGAGTGATGAAATGCTCGTCGGAAAAACTCGGTATTTGTCGCAATTGGCATAGTACAAAACATGGACTGGACTGGACAGTTGGACTGGACTGGATAGCTGGACTGGACTGGACAGTTTGACTGGACTGATTTTTACATTTTCTCTATTCTTGACTTGCATGTCACCCGCCACCTGACATGGCACAAAAGAATATTTTATCACAGCAGATACTATACCATGTCATGTCTATTTTGTGATTTTATCAATGAGCATTGTCTGGTGTATACCAGGAGAAGATTGGTTGCATGTCAAGAATATAACGTTTTGCGCCTGAATTACTTTTGATTTTCGGAAATTGAAATACTTTACCTTCCCCGATGACCTCACTTTATAACTGGAGTGAAATCTCTTAAAGCGGAAGAAACCCCAGTGAGTAGAACTAGAATACAATACAATACCAAACATAAACTACTTATCTGTCTTTGCTATGGGTAGCCTGCTCGCATACATATTAAATTTCGATATTTCAGTCTGCATGGCCATGGG